TTGACCCTCTCAGCTTCTCCTTTCTTCTTAGGTGGAGTAAGCTCAAGCGGCAATCCATCGATGAATCTGACGAGTTGTTTACACTCCCCTGCAGATAAAAATCCCTGTCACAATCGCAATTAGCACGAGAGCCATCAAGCGGCAACAACCCACGTCGATTGTAATTATCTGGTCTTCGAGGATAACACGAGGGAACAGGTCGTTCTTTGGAAAGACAGGAGGAAAGCCGATGCGCTCATCCTCACGTTTCGGTGGTGCCGGCCTAGCATCTTGCTTCGACCCCTTCCTCACCATAAGTACCGAGTGCGATCTAGGAAAGAACAGCGACTCATCTTCTATCATTTATCAGGCGTTGCTAACAGAAGTGCAAAAAGAAATACTTTGCACGTGTGCCCCATGGCTGAGTTGGTTACAGCGTCCGACTGTTACTATACGCAAACATCGGAAGGTCGTGAGTTCGAGCCTCACTGGGGCAGTGATTCTTTTTTTTTTTTTTGCTTTCGGTTCATCTACGTTCGATGGATGATAATCAGAGGATGAAAGACGAAACTCGCAAAGTCGGCGGTCGAACGAGCCCCACGAATTTTAATACGTATTGTCCCCTGCGCAGTTTGGTGACTACATACTGTTTTGTGAGCTGATTTTTTGGCTAAGGGAGCCAGTGCGCACAGCCACTGCCGATGCATTTGTCGAGAAAAGACTCAAGTGGAGGTCCGGACATCCAGCCATGGCAGCCCCGACTGAATCAGACGTTCTCGACGATAACCGGCCTCGCAAAAAGACACGCACCAGCTCAAAGCGCAAGTCTACCAAAAGTACGCAACGTGCAGCAGAACCGCGTTTGTTCGCGCCTTTCCGCGCACTCGGTCTCATAACAAATGAAATCCCATTTTACGTGCAAACCCGATCCCATAAGGGAAGCCACGGATGGCCCACGCGTTCACATTCTGACTTGTTTGGGGAAGTCGTGGGCATTATGGGAAGGCGGGAAGATGACGCTCTTATTTGTTGGCGAGTCTATCCTTCCTGACCATTTGGCTATTGCATATAACATAATTAACAGGCCCGGAGGTTGAGGATCCTATATCCTGCGTAGCCATGGACAGTGATGCAGTTTGGTGTGCATCAGGCCTGCATGCTATCAAGTACCATAGAGGAAAAGAAGTACGTACATCTGCTGAATTGCTACTCGCGTTTCTCATGAGGCATCAAGGTCTTGAGGGTGACAAACCCCCTGGGTTCCGCATTATCTTCCCTTATTTTATTTGGGTCACACCTCCTTGTTCTCACAGAAGACGGGACACATATGTTAATTTGGGACGTTTCCGGTCAGCCTATCTTAGCGACGGGATGTAACTCTTTAGTGACAGCTTACAGGGCCTGTCACCGTCGCTTTTTGCTACCATCGATTTTGACATCGGTTTCACCGCTGTTCGGATGTTGCATCCCGCAACTTATTTGAACAAAGTGCTGGTAGCAAGCCGAGAAGGTCAAATGCAATTATGGAATATACGCACACAGTACGTTAAATTGCCTTGGCAGGTAGTAGTACTCACCTTTTCTTCTCGGCGCAGGACTTGTATACACACCATTTCCACCTCAAAACTACTGACACTATCCAGTTCTAGTCCTCTTTCGAGTCCAATTGTAGCCCTAGCACAATCGCCTGCAATTGACGTGGTCGGCGTAGGTTTTATGTCCGGAGAAATCTCCGTGTATGATATACGCGCTGATGAGAGGCTCATGAGGATGTATATGGAAGGTGGGGGCATTAGAGCCCTCTCTTTCCGAAGCGGTCAGTTGACATGGAACTCTTCGGATGATTACTGACGATAAATTTCAGATGGAAACCCAGTCCTGGCTTCTGTATCATCGTTGGGTCACTTGGCACTTTGGGATTTGAATGCTGGTGGTCGCCTTCTTCACCTTGTCCGAGGCGCGCACGACGGCGGTATCACAAATGCAGAATGGGTCCCAGGTCAGCCGGTACTAATAAGTTCTGGAGAGGATAATAGCGTCAAGGTTAGTCGGAATCTCTCTTTATGATTCTTTTTTTTTGTTACTTACTGAGGATAGCAATGGCTGTTCGACTCGCCGACAGCCGCTCCAAGATTGCTCAAGGCCCGGGCGGGGCATCACGCTCCCCCTCACCTTATTAGGTATTACGGCGAAGATGGCAAACAATTATTGACCGCTTCGGCTGACCGGAGCCTCCGGTACACTTCTGTTGTCCGCGACTCCCGCTCCTTTGAATTGTCCCAAGGTAGGGGGTCAACCTTTTTCGTGGGTAACGTCTATAACATTCTTCTGTAATAAGGTTCCCTTTCCCGCAAGGCCATCACCTTGTCAAAATCCCTCTCCTCTCTGAAGTTTCCGCCGGTCACTTCCATCTCGTTCTCGACAACCAGGTCAAAAGACTGGGATGACGTGCTTACAGCGCACGTGGACGAGCCTTTGGTACGTTCTTGGAGCGTTCTCAATAAACGCCTCGGAGAGCATACGTGGAATTATCATGAGAGCTCTAAACGGAACGCACGTTCAGGCACTGTGAAGGTTTGTCACGTTGATCGTACTAAGTGTGCTCTGAATAAGATAGAAGCATCGCAGTGCGTTTGCGTTACGGAATGTGGCAACTTTGGCATTGCAGGTTCATCGACAGGCGAAATTCATATGTGGAATATGCAATCTGGCATCAAACGGAAAGCTTTTAAACTTGGGCCATGTCCACCCGAACTACCAGGTGCGAAGGTGGAAACAAAAAAAGGCGATCGTGCTATTACGGGGTTAGCTACAGACGCCTTGAATCGCGTCGTCATTGCAAGTACACAAGACGGGACAATCAATGTACGCCGTTTCCCGAAGCAAGGCCGATGATGTAGTTAACTCTGAAATTTCAGTTCTTTGACTTTCACACGGCAAAGCTGCAGCACACACTAACACTATGCGCACCGGTCTCGTCCATCAACCTACATCGTAGTTCAGGGCTTCTAGCTGCAATTTGCGATGACATGACAGTTCGCGTCATCGATATCGAAACGAGGCGAGTTGTCAGGGAGCTAGTGTGCGGTTCAAAGGGCCGAATACTGGATATTGCAAGGCGGTTTCTTCATATCGTTCCTTACAGCTGACTGACCTTATCCCAGGCATTTTCGCCCGATTCCCGGTGGATCGTGACTACATCGCTGGATTCCACAATACGAACGTTTGACATCCCCACTTCTCGCCTTATAGACGCTTTTCGCGTACCAAGTATGGCCACCAGTATCGCATTTTCGCCCACTGGAGATTTTCTGGCGACAGCCCACGTAGACAGTGTCGGCGTCTTTCTTTGGTAGGTTGCCCTTCTTGATGGTCAATGAACCTCCATCCTGACAATAAAAGGGCGAACCGTGCCCAGTTTGCGGAAGTCGGATTCCGGTCCGTCTCCGAGGAGGATTTAGCAGAAGTCTCAATGCCTTTAATGCAAGGCGAGGTTGAGGACGAAAGTAAGCGAATAAACTTCCTCGAGTCTTCCGTGCTTGACATGTTCTAAGACTTAGAAGCCCTGACTGCATTGACGATGGAGGATAAACCTGTGGACGTATTCTCTACGCCGCCTCAGCTAGATGGGGACCTCGTAACGCTGACGTTACTGCCTCGTTCGCGATGGCAAACCCTGTTGAATCTTGAGGTTATCGAGGTTGGTGTTGGGAAGCAAGCTACAGACATACTTGTAACTCACGACTGGTATCCAGCAACGGAACAAACCCAAGGAACCACCAAAGAAACCTGAACAAGCACCATTCTTCCTTCCCACTCTGCCCGGGGTGGAGCATCGATTCGCAATTGACCAGAAACAATCCGACACCACTGATAAGAAGACACGTTTTGACAAGGCCATGGCAAAGTCGAAGAGTATCTTCCAAAAGAAACTAGCAGAACTGGATCAGAAGGGTCAACGTCAGTACTACTAATCTGCGTGTTGCTTTTCAACCGTGTTCATGGTCTCCCACAGAAAATGACCTATTCGATTACATCAAGAGTTTGTCTCCTGCCGCCATAGACGTTGAGCTACGCTCGTTGGTTACACTTGATCATCACCGACAGTTCCTTCGTGCATTAAAACAGCGGTTACTTTCTCACCGAGACTTCGAAGGGATCCAGACATTGCAGAATGTATTTTTACGGCTGCACGGGGACGTTCTCGTCGAGAATGTGGAACTGCAGTTGGAGTTGAAGGAACTGTTGGAGTTGCAAAAAAAGGAAAGCGCACGGATCCTCGAGCTGCTTTCCTCGTCGCTGGGGACGCTGGCCTTTGTACGAGAGACGATGTAGCTGTCTTACATAAATAGTCAGTCCACTGTTCCGATCACGTGCCACTCGCGGTGGTGAATCCCAAAATCGCGTCAACACAGGAGACTTGGCTGTGATATGAGCGACCGAGCACGAGGAATTTACTCGGTGCATGTTTGGTTTTAAGCCTTATACTACGTCCTCGCCCGCCAAGCCTCTGGTGGCTGCTGCTGGTGTCTCCGATGATGTATCGCGGACGTCTACAACATCGAAATCAGAACTCCAGGCCCTCTCCCCCTTTGAAGTCGAGTTTTTGGGCGCAGTCGTTAGAAGAATGCCTTCGAACGCTACCTCTTTCCTAGAAGGACTCAAGGCTTACAATGACGAACTGCATGATCGTGGTATGGATGGCCAAACAGAAACAGTTCATTATGGGAGGCTGGCTGTCGGAGCTTTGCTAGCTAAGGGGTCCATGTATAAACGCTCCTTCTGGAAGCGGGTTTACCTCTGCAATCAAAAGGACACCACAGCCCACTGCTGCTCGGCATCTGTTACAAACTCTTAAATGCCCACTTGCACGTTCTACCACTCCTGCAGGCCATGGCGGCGAGGATGATAACGATGATATCTTCACTCTTCGATCGCATCAGCATCACCGTGAAATGCAGAGCACCGATACCACAGAGGAGCGCTCGTCAGGATGCCGTAAGAGAAAATGAAAAAAGCACCTGCCCCAGTGAGGCTCGAACTCACGACCTTCCGATGTTTGGGTCCAGTAACAGTCGGACGCTGTAACCAACTCAGCCATGGGGCATATACAAATTGGTCCTTTCTTTTGTCCACTGTTGTAGCGACGGAATATTCCTCAAAAACTGAAAACACAAGTGGGCTTGGAGCACGACACAGATAAAATGCAGGTGCCATTGACAAAAGGTGGCCTTTTGCCGCCAGTGCATTGGAACCCTTGCTTTTTGTTTTTAAGGCAATAAGACTTGGCAAGAATCTGACGCATAACGTAAAAAAAGCGTCACCTGTGCGATTCGAACACACGCGGGCAAAGCCCAACCGCTTGACTTATAGCAGGCGATCCCGTTAACCACTCCGGCAAAGTGACTTGGCAATTGGGCGGCAAGTAGTCCTTGATATGATCATCGTAACACCACAACCCTCCCCCCGCTCTCAAGTACGAGATAAACATTACATCCATTGTGCTACGGCACGCTCTTTCCTTCGGAAAACTTAGTCATATAATCTACCAGCGTCTGGACTTGGTCTTCGGTGACTGCGTTGTAAAGTGAAACTCGGACACCTGCCAATGAGTTGGTCCATCAAGTAAGATGGAAACACAGGATAGACCTACCTCCAACAGACCTTCAGGATCTCGTCAGACCTCGTGAAACGAAGCTGTTCTGAACACAACTCACCGATGCCCACGCAGCCCTTTCATGTTTAGTGCCTCGGCACCGGTAATAAACTGGTCTAATTTGCCTTCGCCGACGACGTCGAAAACGACATTCATTTGACTGCCGGAGTCGTCCCTAACTTTACTTTTAAAAATACCGATTTGCTCTCCCCTCTTCAGTGCGTCGTATACCTTGGCGGACTTGTTGGCGGAAAGTGCGGCATACTTCTCCAACGCGTCTTCCCCAAAGTCCTGTACCATTTTCCTGAGAACGAGTCCAGTGATATAGATCGACAATACGGGAGGCGTGTTGTACAAGCTTTGGTGCTCAGCTAGCGTGCGATATGCAGTGCATAGTGGGACGGGTATGGCACCGTTCCGAGCGGCTTTGTCTACATCGACGATGCAATCCTTCCTGACGATGAGTACCGTCAACCCCGCCGGACCAAGGTTCTTCTGGACTCCAGCATAGATAATCGCGTGGTCTTGTAGGCGGGGAATAGGGTGTGACATGAAGGAGGAAGAGTAATCCCCAACCAGAGGGGCATGCTCGGGAAGGAGGTGGAAGGGGAAGGAGGTCTCGTTGCCTTCCTCGCGGGCAAACTCAACCCCATCGACAGTCTCGTTAGCGCAGTAGTAAATGAGGACGGGGCTCCTCGAGAACTTGTAGGTGTCATTTTTGTGACCGGGTATGTTATCGAATTTTCCTTGAGCTGAGAACTTCCTCGAGTCGACGACGACATTAACTGTTCCACCCCCCAGCCTCCTTGCCTCCTTCGCTGCTTTGTCGCTCCACGATCCTGTGATTATATAGTCCATCACTCGCTGCCCCGGCTCGAGCGCGGGGTAGAGTTCATGATGTCTAGCTAGCATATTCAATACGACAGCAGAAAACTGTGCTGATCCTCCACCCTGAGTGAACAGAATCGCATGACTGTCTGGGACTTTGAGCAGTTTCTTGATGTCGGACTCGACACCTTGGAGGTAAGTCTTGAACTCCTTCGAACGGTGCGAGATCTCCGCGATGCCAATGCCTGTGTCCTGGAAGTCCAAGAGGCCCTCGCCGGCTCGCCTTAGCACGGACTCCGGCAATGCCGAAGGCCCTGCACCAAAATTGAGAACGCGCGGCGTCATTGGTGACGAGAATGAGATGATCAGGAGTACTGGAGTCGAGGACCTTGCACACCTGGGCTTATGTAGGGTTAGACAAGGTAACTGAAATCGGACCTATCGGCAACAACATCCTCTCAGCACTCAGGAAAAGTGACTCGTCAACCTGACACCCATTCAGATCGGACATTGGAATCGTGCGCAATGCAGCCGGCCGAAGGGGAAAAGACCAAGAATGAAAACTAGTACTATACAGATCGCACCATACTTTTAAAAGTGCAAAGCAGGGTGGTAGTAACGCAGTCCGTCCTGGCCTTTTCGACTCCGAAAAGTATTACAGGAGCAAATCCATGTGAAGGCGTAATGTAACTACTGAATCCGAGTCCGTATCAAATCGTTCTCAAGAATGTTCTGCATCGTTCCGCGTTGAATCATCACCCTGACGCCAGATCTCTTCCAGAGGACCAGGATCCGGTTTACGCACACCTCCGTCGATGAGTTCAAGCTGTTCTGCAGCCTCGCCACTCTCGCTGTACCGTGAGCCACCGTGAGAAGTAGTAGTGGGTAAAACATCTTCGTCGCGGGGAACGCGTGGGGAATATGGGCGGTGGGACATGGGAGAAGCAAGTGACGGGAAATATTGCCGATAGGTAAAATAAGCGATAGCAGTGCCCAAAATAGCTCCAGCTACGACGTCTTGCCAATGATCTGATAATGGTTAGGCATTAAATGTGACGAGCCAAGGGGGAACATACGTCTGTAGTCCATTGTGCGAGAGATGGCAACAAGGGCTGCGCCGGAAAATGGAGCTAGAGATATCCAAGCTTTGTGCTAATTGACCACAAATTTACATCAGAACTGGTAGAACGTATGCATATTGCTGGGATGTACCGCGTGTCCCCGTTTGTCAAAGAGGTGCATTTTTCCCGCCAAGTAAAAAGATAAGAAGCCGAGTCCCGCGAAAGAAACTGCCACCGTCTTGCGTGAGACATGCAAGAGGAGATTCATGGATGACTACGTACGGCTCGAGTGTCCACTCGGGAAGCTGCGCCAACCGTCGATCATGATGGCGTTATCGGTCTGAGTGCAGATGGCATCAGTGGACAAGCCGAAAATCGGATCTTGAGACCCATCCGTTGGCATGCAGCGAGACAGTACGTCTGAACGTAGTCAGTCGAGGTATTAGTGAATGATATTAGGGAAAACGTTGGTTCTAAGCCTCACCAGGTCGAGGCCGACCAGTGGTAATCTTAGAAAACTGGGTAATGGCTCCTGTTATCGCGAGGCCCAAAATAACTGTGAGACATTTCAGCTCGGACAAATGACACGAGTGCTGCAAATGCACATACGTCCGAGCACGCTGTTATGGAAATCCCAAAACGAGCGGATGGTGACTAAATTTACCAGGAGCTGAATGACTATAGGGGCCACGAGGGCGATCATATACAGTGCCCAAGTCTAGAGAATGAATGTGAGAATCGGGGAGCACATGGGAATAGAGCCATCGTACCGGGACGCGTTCGTGAACAGCATAACTGCATTTTCGCGGTCAGCTAATGACAGACTTCCAGATGCTGAACGTACGGAAAACGTAACCTATGTGGTGGGTAGCGGTAAGCTGAATACGTTTGATGATGAACCGTGGCTCACGTCTCGTCGTCGACGGAAAACTCCCGCCTAAAGCCATGTACACTGTCCAGTGCAAAGAAAACAGCGCTGCGAGATATATGAGTAACTCGACCATACACGCCAGGGAGCGGCGTACGCCAAAGCAATAGTAATAATCCTGCGTGACTGCGGGTGAGCGCACGGCAAGGTTGGCTGACAGAATGACGCACCAGTCAGGGGCGTATGACTTGAGTAGCTGGAGGCGTCTTTTGTTGTCTGTTTTCTTGGCGGTACCGGTACCGAAGTATTGTTGGAGTGTGGTCATCATGATACCTCTAACCTGGAGGTGTGCTGTGAAGGATGAAGGGGAAAGGAAAAAAAAAAAGTCAGCCCAAACAGCGTGTTGCGGCTAAAAAAGGCTGACAACTTGCAAGCCACCGCTGGAACTTGATCAGCCTGATCTCAACGCCGTGCCAGTCGGCACCCAACGCACGAGTGCACTCCACGCCATGTCACAAACTGCAGCAATGTACCACCTGTCACCTACTTTTCAATGGGATCCGGGTAGGAGCTAGTCGTGCGCTGTTATGCTCTGCAATGGCTCACAATGCGCGTACAGCTTATGAGGCGGTATTGGAGCGCATAGCTGCCACAGACATCGTAGGATCAGAGTCAGAACGCTATCTCGCCCCTCGCACGTAGTCGTCCGAGCTGACCAGCCCTCTCACGCCAGAACAGAATGGAGTCAGCTTCGGGAGATGATTAAATTTAAGCTAGAGCAGGTTCGTTCGCGGATTGGTCTGTCCTCACCGACTTTCCATGTTGACATCAGAACATAGAATGTCGCTATTTTCCTTTCAGACGCAGAACAACGCACTGAAGTTAACAACGGTTCGCCGACGTTGTCCACTGGTATTCCCGACAGCTCCGGCAACTTGAGGCTCCCTCCCTTTCCGCCTCATAAACCGAATGAATTGAATCCCATCGAGGCTCCGAAGGTGCACATGAATCGGGAAGAGGCCAACGAATTAAAAACTCTTATATTTAAACAGCTTCACGACTTTGACGAGTGGGTAAATCGTGTACTACCTCCAGCAATTGATCAGATGTTTAACTAGAAGTCCCCCGTTTACTATTCAACGTGTCTGTGAACTCTGCGTGCATCCGAAGAAACACTACAAGGCTATTGGCAAATATCTCCGTGCTGTAGAGAGGTCCCTGCTTGTGACGTCGACGTGGAGTTCCTTCCCGCCGGAGACGTCACAAAATGGTCTTTCCCTTGGGAGTGCTTCAGTCAATTTTACCACCCAGTCCACGCCGTCTACGCCCATGTTCTCACCCATCCCATTCTTACATGGAGATGCAAGACGGTCAAAGTCACGTAGTCCACCGCCTTCCCCCCTCACACTCGCCGCGATGGAGGCGGCTAGCAATATAGAACCTTTAGGGGAAGCATTGCCACAGCGGGCAATAGGACTGGTCGATGAGCTCGATGATCCAAGACCCTGGTCACATGAGCGAGCATCCAACCGCGATCACGGCGGTGACGACGACTCATCCTTTCATCGAGACCTTGGAGAGTAGATTCGTGAGAGGTGGAGAACAGGTCGGGCAGGGTGAGACAGGAATGTCAGTCGATAGCACTGGCGGCAAGGAAACAGAAGATAAAAGTCATGGGATGTAGGACACTAACG